GGTTCATTGAACCACAATACTGATAAGTGATTAATAAAAGTCAAAAGACCAAAGAGGTTACCTTAATACCAAAAAAACAAAAAAACATAACATATTACCTAACTAATATAACTTTTAAGCTTTAATAACTTTATATCTTTATTAAAAAAAAATCTAATAGGATTGTAACTTAAAATAAAAACAACAAATATATAATATGAATTTTTTTAAAAATAATTTGTTTCTGAGTTATTTCTTAATTTGTAAGCTTTTCTAAGCAAATTTGTCTAGAAAATTACTAAAAATATGCTTATAGTCTACATTTTTTAAATTTTAAAATATTTAAATAAAATTTTATTTAATAATATTTAATAAGTGAATCTAGATCTTACACTCTTGCAAAATGCTTAAATACAACTCCTGAAATGCAATATACTTATATATTATGTCATATAATTTATATTATCTTTTACATATTTGACCAGATTTATATATGTATAGAATTCTTAATTCTTAAATAGGATATATAAAACAAATAAAATTGAAAATTCTATTACTATAAACATACTAACTACATATGATATATACAGTAAGTAAAGAGAGAATCTACACCTATATAATATATATAGTAAGTAAAGAAAGAATCTACACCTATGTGATATATATAGTAAATCATAAAAAGCACTTAAAAGATCTACAAAAAATGAAACTAATTTTTTATAGTTTTTAAAACTTGAAGCTTGAAATTATTGTGCTACTGTATTGTTACTATTATCCTTATTTTGTAAAAGGCTGCATTATAACTCACTTGATTGCAAATATGGAATTTATAAGACCCTCTACTATTAGATCCTCTTTGGTGATCTTGCTCTTTTTTAACACTATTAATGTATCATCATTTGGGTAATTACCCTTTAGTATGAACTTTATTTGAATTTTTCACATTTTTAAAATTGGGTTCAATCATGTCTTGTTCAGCTTCAGATTCCTCTAATTGATCACTACTTTTGTTTAATTGGATTTCTAAAGCATTATTAGATATCTTATTAGTTGTAAATCTATGCATAACATAATTATATTTATTACATTTTCAACTAATATAGTTTTTAAAGTAACTGACAATTTTATTATCATCTTGTTCAACTACAAGTAATGTAGCTTCTCATGCTAATTTCTATACACAGCTATACAAATTTCTTTTATAAATAGACTTTTTAAATATAGGATTTGTTGTTAAGATCATAGTAGGCTTTTATATAGGTAAGACAATCTTGTTATTAAGAATATCTATCTCATAATTGAATATTGGACTTTCTGAAATCAGCCTATCTTGGTAGTGGTTTTTATACCATTTTTGAGGTATCGTACTAATATGAAATGCTATAATATTTGAGTGCATTATAACATGAAAATAGTAGCAACATATAATTCCTTTTGAGATTAACATTAGACAGGAGCACAAAAAAGATACTGTGTTAACAATAATAACAAAATATATATGACATCTTTTTTCACTTCTTATATCCATAATTCTTTATATTTTTAATACATCTTTTTATCCTACTTCGTCAATAATTGCCTAAAGCATAATGAGGCATGCATCATATTAGTTTTTGATAAATCTATTGGATTCTAATTGATTATTTTTCTTTATAATACAAGGCATGCTATTAGATAAGTTTGGATTCTAATTTAGCACTATGTATTATATTTGTTCACTATATAATTCTTCAATGTTAGATTCAATCTTGTTTGCACTAATAAATAGGCATTGTGATATTTCTATTTTAATTGCATTAGTAATAGGTTTTGTAAGATATTTATTGATAACTTTTACTACTTCAGAGAACAAATCTTGTTTGGCAATAGAAATAGTATTTGTTATAATAGCTTGTTTGTAATTGTGAAACTGGCTCTATTGTACTTCTTCTTTTAATCTTACATCAAGCCAGTTAGAAGCTCACATAAGGTACTGTTTGCTTTTAATTGTTGCTTAATAATCTAATTATAATTTTTGACTCTTGCTATGCTCTTAGTACCTGCAGTGAATATTTTGTGAAGATAAGCATAAGCTCATAAGCAACATCTCAGATCCAATACATATAGAAAATAATCTTTTGCTATTAGAAAATCATTAAGTAATTTGTTTCATTATTCTTTAAATAAAGGTTCACACAAACTATTACAACACTCATAAAACTGTTTGATAAAATTATCACAATTACTACTTAGTTTCATTTTTTAGGTTTTTGGGTAAGTTTTGTGCAATATTGAAAATACAATATGCCAAATATGCTTTAGGAAAAACAATTAGAATAGCTACATCAAGTGTAAAATTCCTATTAGTAAACATAACAATTAGAACTTTGTCTGTAGCTTTTTTGATACATTCAAGTATTCAAACATGTGTGTCAACAGTTTCATTATTTATCAATACCTGGCAGATAAGGTGAGTTTTGCATTTGTTATTAACTACTATAAAAATTTCTAATTTTATTTAGTACTAATTAGTTCGTATAGTGTTGTCATTGACAATGATATCATAGTATCTAAGCCAAAGATCAACCTGACCTAAAAACATCCAAAGAAGATGAACTAAGCAATTTTCTTTGTCCAGCTTGAAATCAACAACCCAGTATAGGTCTTCTAGCTTTTTTTGCATCAAAGGCATAAGCAAAATTGATGTATCATTGCTAATTTTAGTTGTTTTTTTTCTTTTTGAATCATATTTATTAAATCTTAATCTTGAAAATTTAGATCTAGAAATCGAGCTCTTAGAAGACTTTTTTGTACTGTGAGTGACAAATTACTATACTTAGTTATTAGTTTTATTTCATCAATTGCTTCTTTAGATAATGACTAATATTTTACTCCAAATTCTTAAGTTTCAGGAACAAGAATATGATTATGTTAATTAACATATTTCATGATTGTGATTTGGGTAGTTTGTTCCAAAAAAGACAAATTGGTATGCTACAGGCAATTAACTTTCTTAGTTTTTGTGTCTCTTTGTATTCTATTTAATGTTACTTTAAGTATTTTTTTAAATTTGTATTTCCTATTAAATTCACAGACAAAAGTTCTTTTATAGATTTGACCTGAGTTGCTTCTTTCTATCTGATATTTAGTAATAGCAAAGCCATTTCTAGCACCATATTTATTCAAATAATTTTCTACCTCATTCTACATATTAAAACATGTGCTTTCAGGAATATCCTCTGAGATAATTATCAGTAAATCTATAAATGTATGCTTGTTTGTTTTATTATACTTCACATTCTCTATTTGCATTGTGGGTGTATTATTGAACTCAAGGCTGTAATTATCAAATATAACTAAGATATGTGTTGGTTAGTTTCAATTGATGAATTAATTAACTTTTTCATTATGAAACTTACAATATTTTTCAACTAACTCGCTAATATCATTATTGGTAAGGTCAATAAAACTTAAGTTAGAAAGTTTTTGATAGTGCTTTATGACTAAAGTCGAAGATGTATATTTATTAGCTTGTTGCATTTTATAATAAGAACGTGATTGTGTGCAAGGTAATTAGAGATCTTTTTCATTTACAATATGTTTAGGTTCTTTTTTAGTATAATTTTATATAAAGTTCTTTTTTTTAGAATAATTCTTTTTTTTAAGACAATTCTTTTTTTTAAGAAGATTTTTTTTTTTAAGACAATTCTTTTTTTTAAGGTGATTTTTTTTTTTAGAATGATTTGTTATGCAATACAATTTATTATGCAATATAATTTATTAGGGTTTTTTTCTACAGGATAATTTGAGACTACAATTGTTCTGTTTGATGCAATTTGTATTTATTTTGTTTTATAATACAACTTATAATGCTCAGAATTTTTGTTTATTTGATGTATTTTATTTATTAATAAATTTAAAGAATGCGATACTGTTATATCTTATTTTACTATATTTGTAAATATTGCATTTTTAACTAATCTGATTTTATATCAATATGCTATATTAGATTTAATTATTTTGCATCCTGCTAGACAAACATTTATTTATATTTAAAAATAAAAAATTATATTATAGTAGTATTTAATTTTATATTATAAAAAAAAATCTATGTTGTTGCTTATAAACTAAAAATAGACAAATTTAGAAAAAATTTTTAATTAAAAAAATTATTTACAAATTTTTGATAAACTCTTTAAATATTAAATTTAAGCTTATAGTTCTTAATACAATTTTTTCATCATACTTTTTCCGATGATCCTCTGCACCAATTTTTTCACATATACTGACCTACAAAAATTATATAGTTAGCATGTTTATATACAACAAAACTTCGCCATATAGCATCTGGGTTCAAGAGTTTC